CGTGACAATTCTCTTTACCCCTAGGGTCCCGGATGCAGTAGCATCCCGCTCCTTCCTCTTGCGCCTTTGCAGCCTCATTTGGTGCTGCTCCACCTGGTCCAGGCTCCCTTCTTCCACTCCCTTGTCAATGGTTGCCCAGGTGAGCCTCTCGCTCCCTTCCCCATACTTTGTCAGCTTTGTGGCCTCCGAGCCTGTGAGCAGCCCCAAAAATGTGGCGCATTGCGCCTCCTCATAAATCTCGTGCACTTTCCTCGCCTTTTTCTTAAACTCGTGCACGAACGCCCCAATGGTAAAGAAATCTTCCTTATTCATGGCCTCCAAGTCGGCCATGGTCAACAGGTCGTCCCCCAGCCTGTACTTCCTTCGCATTAGGTCCCCAAACTTCGTCCAACTGCCACCGGCGGCATCCACGACCTTAGTTACCTCTCGGTAGTGACTATGCAGGACATACCTCAGGACCCGCTGAAGCTTGACCTCATCTGACAGTCCCACCAGCGCCTGCTCTGTCAGATCCAACCAATCAGATACCCGATCCCCTTTGAAGTGAAATGTCTCGACCTTCGGGACATTGCTCGGCGCCCTCTCGTGCTTGTCCAGAGCATCGATGAGGTCGTCGAGAGTCACAAGCTTCCTCCCACCGTCTGCCATCTCCTCTGGCATTTTGACCAGTTGCCTCCGGCTTCAAACTTCTTATTCTAACAAACAATAGGACGAAAGACCTCACTCAGCGACTCGATCCTTCGTGCCCCTATTGGGTTGACCCCTCAGACACCCCACACTCTAGACCTGGCAGGCATTCCCTTTCCTATTTCCCTTAGGCCCCTCTCGATAAGGCCTATCCTTACCATAGAGCCTCCTCACACACTTGCCTCATTCAAGTTGTCAACCAAACCGCCAATCAATCAATCATCCAACCTATAGTCATATAGATCACCTTACAATACATCTTATAGTCCTTCTCTTATTCACTCATATGCCTAGTTTCTCTCTTACTCCCTTACCCGGATGTCGTTCCACCAGGGACAACGGTAGGCTTCCGTTATCCACGGCAATGGCGCCACCTGTCGAGCGCATCGGTCCGGCACCGCGCATGGCAGTGCGGGACCCTCTCGGCCGTGTCACGCAGGAGTTGGACCAACCTCGACACGGACACGCAAATGGAGCTTCCTTAGGCCGCTCCGGCCGAGTGCGCCAGCCATACCTCTCGCGAGC